ACCTAACTGACTGATGGGGAAGAAGTCTAGTTAGTACCTAACTGACTGATGGGGAAGAAGTTTAGTTAGTACCTAACTGACTGATAGGGAAGAAGTCTAGTTAGTACCTAACTGACTGATAGGGAAGAAGTCTAGTTAGTACTTAACTGACTGATGGAGAAGAAGTCTAGTTAGTACCTAACTGACTGATAGGCAAGAAGTCTAGTTAGTACCTAACTGACTGATAGGGGAGAAGTCTAGTTAGTACCTAACTGACTGATAGGGAAGAAGTCTAGTTAGTACCTAACTGACTGATGGGGAAGAAGTCTAGTTAGTACCTAAATGACTGATGGGGAAGAAGTTTAGTTAGTACCTAACTGACTGATAGGGAAGAAGTCTAGTTAGTACCTAACTGACTGATAGGGAAGAAGTCTAGTTAGTACCTAACTGACTGATGGAGAAGAAGTCTAGTTAGTACCTAACTGACTGATGGGGAAGAAGTCTAGTTAGTACCTGACTGACTGATGGAGAAGAAGTGTAGTTAGTACCTAACTGACTGATGGAGAAGAAGTGTAGTTAGTACCTAACTGACTGATGGAGAAGAAGTGTAGTTAGTACCTAACTGACTGATGGAGAAGAAGTATAGTTAGTACCTAACTGACTGATGGAGAAGACGTGTGGTTAGTACCTGACTGACTGATGGAGAAGAAGTTAGTACCTACTGTTGATGGTACCTAACTAACTGACTGATGGAGAAGAAGTATAGTTAGTACCTAACTGACTGATGGAGAAGACGTGTGGTTAGTACCTAAGTGACTGATGGAGAAGAAGTGTAGTTAGTACCTAACTGACTGATGGAGAAGATGTGTAGTTAGTACCTGACTGACTGATGGAGAAGAAGTGTAGTTAGTACCTAACTGACTGATGGAGACTGACCTAACTGACTGATGGAGAAGATGTGTAAGAAGTGTAGTTAGTACCTAACTGACTGATGGGAAGAAGAAGTACCTAACTGTAGTTAGGAACCTAGTACTGACTGACTGATGGGGAAGAAGTCTAGTTAGTACCTAACTGACTGATGGAGAAGAAGTGTGGTTAGTACCTAACTGACTGATGGAGAAGAAGTCTAGTTAGTACCTGACTGACTGATGGGGAAGAAGTCAAGTTAGTACCTAACTGACTGATGGAGAATAAGTGTAGTTAGTACCTAACTGACTGATGGAGAAGAAGTCTAGTTAGTACCTGACTGACTGATGGGGAAGAAGTCAAGTTAGTACCTAACTGACTGATGGAGAAGAAGTGTGGTTAGTACCTGACTGACTGATGGAGAAGAAGTCTAGTTAGTACCTAACTGACTGATGGGGAAGAAGTCTAGTTAGTACCTAACTGACTGATGGGGAAGAAGTCTAGTTAGTACCTAACTGACTGATGGGGAAGAAGTCTAGTTAGTACCTAACTGACTGATGGGGAAGAAGTTTAGTTAGTACCTAACTGACTGATAGTGAAGAAGTTTAGTTAGTACCTAACTGACTGATGGGGAAGAAGTGTAGTTAGTACCTAACTGACTGATGGGGAAGAAGTCTAGTTAGTACCTAACTGACTGATGGAGAAGAAGTGTAGTTAGTACCTAACTGACTGATGGAGAAGAAGTCCAGTTAGTACCTGACTGACTGATGGAGAAGAAGTGTAGTTAGTACCTAACTGACTGATGGAGAAGAAGTGTAGTTAGTACCTAACTGACTGATGGAGAAGTCAAGTTAGTACCTAACTGACTGATGGGGAAGAAGTCTAGTTAGTACCTGACTGACTGATGGAGAAGAAGTGTATTAGTACCTAACTGACTGATGGGGAAGAAGTCTAGTTAGTACCTAACTGACTGATGGGGAAGAAGTCTAGTTAGTACCTAACTGACTGATGGGGAAGAAGTCTAGTTAGTACCTAACTGACTGATGGGGAAGATGTTAAGTTAGTACCTAACTGACTGATGGAGAAATCTAGTTAGTACCCAACTGACTGATGGGGAAGAAATCTAGTTAGTACCTAACTGACTGATGGAGAAGTATAGTTAGTACCTAACTGACTGATAGGGAAGAAGTTTAGTTAGTACCTAACTGACTGATAGGGAAGAAGTCTGGTTAGTACCTAACTGACTGTTAGGGAAGAAGTTTAGTTAGTACCTAACTGACTGATGGGGAAGAAGTCTATTTAGTACCTAACTGACTGATGGGGAAGAAGTCTAGTTAGTACCTAACTGACTGATGGGGAAGAAGTCTGGTTAGTACCTAACTGACTGATTGGGGAAGAAGTTTAGTTAGTACCTAACTGACTGATGGGGAAGAAGTCTAGTTAGTACCTAACTGACTGATAGGGAGGAAGTCTAGTTAGTACCTAACTGACTGATGGGAACGACTTTTACCACAAGGCCCTAGAAATGCGTGACTTCTTCTGGCTTCGAGGATATCCTGAGCATTTCTTATCTGTTTTCTTTCACCGAGCACCATCTATTTATTGTGCTGGGGCCCTCGTTTCCAAGCCTAAATGTCACCACAAGAGACCTATCCTCATACTTACTTATCACCTCACAATATCCGTGCCAAAATTATTCTCACCAGCATGATTTTCGCTCAACTTCCTTTGGCCTACAGACATGACTGAAATCTTAATTCTATAAATAAACAGAGAGGGGACCTTTTGAGGCCATTAAATATTATGAATTAATCATGTAACAGAAAGTGTATTAATCGGCACTCATTGAAAGAAGTAAAAAGATAGAAGAACACGCTAGATAACATAAAAATCGAAAGCTGTATTTACCGTGCCAGGAATTGAACCTGTCACCTCCAGACGGCATGTGCGCCTCGCCATGGATACAAGTGCACTAGGAACATGGTGAATTATGAAACCTGTACCCTGTTTTATTCTCCCCTCCCCAAAAAATAAGATATCTTATTAGCCATGTCTATCGTACAGCTTGAAATCCACAACTATGGAATATGGACAGAATTCTTTTCAAACCATTGAAATGGCACAATAGGTTACAGAAATGTATATTAACGAATATGTCGAATAACAATCACAGCAACAATTCACGAACACAGTGTGAAAATAAAGCGATTTTACACCCAGGCTGAAGTGTCAACAGAGCTTTATCTAAAATTCTCGTTAAATTCTTCAGTTACTGCCCTTGGCATTCCTCGTCTATTTATTATCAAACTCCCTGTGTCTCATCCTTCCACTGGCAAGACATCAACATGGCTGCTTCGTGATACGTCAGTTAAGTGATTTTGTGTTATTCGTGTGGTTTTGTTTGATTTATGTATGTGCTGATAAGAGCCTTATATAAAGAAAAGTTCACGTTTTGTGTGTTTGTTAAATTGTGAAGCTCGCTGATCTACTTTTCGATCGATTTTATATTTTTCCATAATATTTAATGAGATTAAATGTTTCAGGTCTCTCTCTCTCTCTCTCTCTCTCTCTCTCTCTCTCTCTCTCTCTCTCTCTCTCTCTCTCTCTCTCTCTCTCTCTCTCTCTCTCTCTCTCCCTCTCTCTAAAACAGTAAGGCCACAAATAATTTAAATATTGCACAATTTATTGCCTGGCATATCGCAATCTACCATGTCAGTTACTACAGAGTTGGCACCAGTATATAACAACGCACAAAGTGAACCTGGCAGTTGATCTGACGAGCGATCGAGAATCGAGGAAACAGGCTTGGCAAAGCAGAGTTCTCCAAAGGACTCATTACATGATGATGATTATTCCATAAAATTAGTTCTTTGTTTAGTTGTTGTCATATCTTAGAAGAATTTTAAAGTGTGCTCTTTTATTGCACTGTAGACTTTGTGAAGTCAGAGTTCATCGCCTTTGTAACTTAGGGGCTATAAACACTGTTAAATTATTCCAACATACGGGGTTCCATCCGGCTGCAGTCGATTTGGCAGCAAGCAGTTCTGGGTTGCGTTTGACAATCGACTCAGGTTTGACAGTCGAGGGCGAAAGCAAACTAATGAGCGTAATGAATCGACATCCCTAGGATGGTTTCCATATGCGCTCCGTCTCCATCTTCAGCAGCAAGCGCCGAGTTCCAGTTCCGAGGGCACAAGTAACTGTCTGACTGTACATCCGTCTTGCGTTTCTCCTGAGTGTTGAGCGTCTGCCCGATCCCCGGTGCACTCATTGCACGAGGTTTCTCATCAGACCTTAGTGATCTATTTTGTGTCTCCGCACCGTTCACCAGCTCCCAACGGACCCTTCTACAGCAACTTGCTTGTCCTGCATTAGTTCAAGACCAAGTGGTGCAGAAGAAATCAGCGAACAAATGATGAGACTGGTTTGCTCCGTCTTCTAAACCAGTGTTCCTCAACCTTTTCACATCCGCAGCCCACAAAAACAGGGGACATTGTTTCGCGGGCCACAAAAACAGGGGACATTGTTTCGCGGGCCACTTGACACAGCTAAAAATTAAAATTAAAAATAAAAGCAAATGTACATACCAGCTGAATTGTTAAATCCGATGTCACGATATTGCAATTATCAGCTTATGCTTATGAATGTAAAAAATAAAAATAAAGAAAGATTCACAATGTTGCTGGAGCCCTCTTTCTGATATACTGTCTAGCATTGTAATTAAATTCCATTCGATTTCTTCATTAAGTTCGTCTTTGCACACACATAGGAAATCATTACAGACTGGAAGAGGAAATACACCTACTCTACCTCGTTGAATCATTAAGTATAATGTTTTGGAGGCCCAAAGGGACTTTTCTGGAGCCCAGCTATTGGCCGCGACCCATGGGTTGAAGAACACTGATGTAAATGATATGCATCTCATTATAAAGTAAAGATCATCATCATCATCCCCAAATGCAAATTACCTAAAAGTGTGAAAGATTGTTTCTTCACACCCTGAGACCTCTAACATCGTGTGCGCTGACATAATTCTAGGCGGTTCAGAATGTTCTCACGCTGTCTTCCTTCATCTTTTCTTGACAGCTGTCCAGTTGTCATAACAGCTGTATAGATTATTTACAATAAGACGCGTGACATAGCGAGTCTTCGTGACTGGTAATAACACAGTGATTGATGGCCAGAGGGTTTGCCGAAACTCTAGGTTTGAAGGCTGAATGTTCACTGATAGAAAAACTTAGTTTGGCTCGCTTTTCCTCTTCTGTCGCGGAGGCAGAGTCCAATAATGGCGACATAAGAGATAACGGTGAAGTAGATGGAGGTGAACGTGATCGTGTAAGCAATGGTGGGGTTTGAACGCTTTCCTTCACGCTTGTTCGAAGAAGGAGAGTGGGGTTTGCCAGGGTAGGTAACATAGACGACACTGTAAACGATGCGATGTCATACGTTGATTTGGTCGTGGATCCAGGCTCGTCTCTGGCCGTGGCACTGATGTTTCTATGGCTGACGTTGCTTGCAGACGACTGTATGTTGGAGAATGGGAAGACGAATGGACTTGACGATTGGAAGAGCCGCAAACGCTGATGCCGTCGCCACTTTGCTCGCCGGTTGGAGAACCACACCTGGGAACCGAGACATTCAATGTGTCTGCACTCATAATAAAACAGACGATCTTATGATTTTAACATGTTGTATGAGCCTGACACATGCTTGGGGAAGTCAAGAAAATGAATCTTGAAATGAAGTACAAACATAAAACTATACATTGTATCATGTGGTAAATTTGATTTCCCACCCCCCCCCCCCTCTTCCCCCCCCCAAAAAAAAAGCCCCGGATTATCCTCGTAGGGGGCTATGGGTGGGGTGAAAAAAGGGGTGGGGGCACCGTTCAGTTCTCGAGTGCAGTTTTTACGGAGATCTCTGGGGATCGTCGCTGGAGCTAAAGAGGTCGTGCTCTGTGCGGCGTTCTGGGCAGGCAGCTAGCAGCGTTGCGGAGAGAGACTGAACTACATGGGATAAAACCCGCTGGAATGAAGTCGATCGTCTCACATTACCTTTAGATAATGAAAACCTGAAATGTTTTTCCCTAGGGCAACAGTGGTATAAGGGGTCTTATTAGCGAAGACAAGCTGTCACCTCCAGCTCGGATTGTCACATGTTCGGTTTAGGTTGTTCATTTCATGGCTGCAGTTTGTGTTTCGGGAATTCATGTGTAACGTTTTTATAGATTTCGTGAGTGTTGTAAGGCTATCCTCCGAATAACGGGCACATATTATGGCAGCCAAAAACAGGGCCTCAGTCACATGTAAATTGTGAACTTCCGGCGACTTAATTCGCGAACTTCCGGCGACTACCGCCACTACCGAGGGTATCCCCCACGCCGCTCACGCGGCGGGGATTGGAGCTAAACTAGATGGCTGGGACTCACGAGCGAAGCTGCAGGAGATGCGGAAGCTTCTGCTCGTGATACTCTCGGCGGTGGCGGTAGTCGCCGGAAGTACGCAAATTAGGTCGCCGGAAGTGCGCAATTGACATGTGACTGTGAGGGTGTTTTTGCGGCCGCCATAATATGTGCCGTTATTCGGAGGATAGCCTGTTGAAACTGTCTAAGTTCACAGCTTGTAGCTAAGCATATAGGACAGGAGCACCACCGTGATGTACTGGCTAGACGCTCGCCCCTAGATCCAATGGTCGTGGATTCAAATCCGAACGGAATCGGACTTTTCCCCCTCTAAAAATGACCTTGGCTCCCAGGCCGACCCAGCCCTAAATGAGCACCAGGAAAAGTCCTGGGAAGTAAAGGCGGTCGGCGTGATGTTAATCACATCACCAACCGAGTGCCGACTGGTCTATAAAATATAAGTCGGTACTTAATTTATAACTTACCCCTGGCGTCACGACAACGTCACGGGAGACATTCCCAATAAATTCTAGGGTGTTCAGGTTGCAGTTTCTCGCGATTTCTCTACAGTAAAGTTTAGGGTTAGGGTTAGGATTAGAAGACACTAGATGAACACTCCAAAAAAGCACCACACAACAGCACACTTGCACCCCTTGAAATAATGGACTGTCAGGTCAGCTGTGGATTTCCCACGGGGATTTCCCGTTTGGGGTACGTTATAAATTAAGAACCAGATAGTCTAGCCCTATGTGCCCAGTACGACTGAAGGCATGGAAAAGAATCCTTCACCTGCATATAAAGAATAAACTAAAACCCGGTGCCCTAAAGTCGACCCTGGACCTTTTAATCCTTTATAGATATATGGGGGGGGGGGGGGATACAGTTCTCTTTTAAAACCTTATCTCATTCCCATGTGGGACGAATCGTTCATTAATTTGAAGCACCACCCTGGTTGTTGCCGGGGGACCTAATATAACCTGGCGGTTGAACGAGATTTCCATGGGTGCTTCTCATCCGAATGGTGGCAGTTTGTGTCACCTGATGTTTATCGCTCAGTGTGATGTCCTGGTGGGGTAAAAGGTCAGTCATTCAGTGCACTTATCCAGGATTCAAATTGTAGGGTACACACATACACACAGTTGCTCTTACCTGGACTCTCGCTTCAGAAAGATTTGTTTTGCCGGCAAGTGACTCACGTGTTAACACCCCGGGGTAGTGAGTTTTCTGGTGAAGTTAAACGGTTCCAATTACGTCAGTACGTTTACATTTCATGAATAATTTTAACAAGAAGAAAGCCCGCAGTGGGAAGCATAACAATGAAGAGCTTAACAATAAATGTGTCTTGAAGTGAATGATAGTGTTGGTTTGTCAAGTGTGAACGTTGTTGACCACGAAGACATGGTGATTTAAGCGTCGTGGGGAGGAATAATTTGCGATCTAGTGCACATTGGCTGCCACTGGCTATTTTCATGCCGTGAAGGCGTAAAGTGTCTTTAATGTTGTCGATCCATGTTTTCCGCGGCCATCCTCTTGCTCGTGTAGCCGATCTTCTGAGATGTAATGCTTGTGATGGTATTTGATCTTGCGGCATTCTTACAAGATGGCCAAACCACTCAATCTGCTGTTTCTCGATGAATCTGGCACAAGGTGTCGTACCCACAATTTGCCTGATAGTTTCATTATTCACTCGATCGCGGATGGTTAGGTTGGCTGCTTTTCTCAAGCTTCGCAGCTCACAGGTGTTGATTTTGCGTGTATGAGCTTTAGATAGTGTCCATGTTTGGCACTTGTAACTCAATGTTGAAATGAAAAGGCTATTAATAATCTGTCTCTTTGCTCTCCTAGTTATGCTTTGATGTCTTAATAATGGTGACAATTGGTATGTAAGTGCACTTGCTTTCTCTGTCAATTCTACCATTTTGTGTGATCATAGTTCCTGGATATTTAAACTCCCTGACTTGATTTTCGAGCAGAACCATTCAGCTGTATGTGTAGTGGGGCAGGGGTTTTACTAACTTGCATTGTTTCGGTTTTGCTTACATTGATCTTTATGTTGTATTACTGCATGCTGAGTTTAACCTCGTAATGTGGTCTTGCAGTCTATCTTCTTCATAGTAGAACAAGCACTGGTCGTCAGCAAATAGTAGTTCGTTTAATGTGGGTGAATCGATAACTTCACCTGATGTTTGAACTTCCTCATGATTATAAAGGTCTATGTTGTCTCTATCAGAACTGGCTTCTTTAGATATTCTGTCTATATAGAAGTTTAAGTAACTAGCGGTAAGCCTACATGAGGCCAACAAAAGAGTAAAACATTATGTCCAGCAATACAAAATAATAAAGGGAAATTCGGTAGATTTTATAATGGTCTCTCCATTTACACACCGCTATACACTAGCTAGCTTTTGATTGGACGAACTACATCCACCTCATATGATAGGTCGGCCTCGAGCGTTCCGACTTTCACACAAGGTCACGGGGATATTCCGCACTCGCGCTGATACCACGTGTTGTATATTTCACCATGCCAGAGCTTTTAACATTTCTAAAACAGTTAGATACTGAGTCTAACAAACATCTCCCTAGAGAGTGACAAAACCTATGTCACAGGCCGTCTCTTTCTCGTAAATAAAAACGTAAATCCAAGACAACAATAGACTGCGACACCAGTAACCTCGACCACGGTAGACTAGTCCAAGCTACTTATCAATGAAGTTGACCTACAAACGGTGGTGTGTAAATGAGGAGACCATCGTATAAATAACCAGAAATTCTTACGTTTTTCACCTCAAAAACGCCGTGATTGACCGTTCATTCATGCTTTTTGACCTTTCACACACGCTAGTCTATGTTACAGAGGTGTCACGATGTGTTTTGTTCGATGCTGTGAGCCGCGTGGTGTTGGTTGGTGTGAGCGGCCGGCGAGGTTGCCTATAATACAGCTTTGTCGGACCGCGCAGGACATAGATTTACTACAGCTGTCAGTGTTGACGAGCTACAATAAAAGCTGCAGTGCTTTTCTGCAGCAAGACTTTTTAGGGCCCACCACAAAATGTTAACACATTTTAAACGACGTGACGTAATCTTCACTCTCTAGTGGGAAGTAGACTTAAGCTGTTGGTAGGGGGTTAAGGTTAGGGCAAGTTCTAGATGTTGTGGGGTCGTTAAAAAGGGTCGCATCGTGTAATATAGAACACAGGATGCATCCGGAGATAGCATCGAAGATAACCCAACGTGACACGGGACGTAGGCTGCATCCTGTCGTGAGATATCTGCTAAGGGTGTGTGATAGGGGGTTGGGGCCAGTTCTAGATACTGTGGGGTTGTTAAAGGCTATGACATCGTGTTGTATAGAACAGGGTATATCGTCGGTGAAAGCACCGAAGAACACGACTCTTTTGTAACGTAGACTACTGCTGGTGAAAGGCCACGAAATATGAATGAACAACTAATCACAGTGTGTTAAGGGCGAAAAGCTTTAAAAGGACAGAGACATGGAGGCATTGGAGCATATTGTTGGGGTAGGGGGAGTTGGGAGAGTGAGAGAGAGGGTAGAAGGGTAGTGGGTAGACGCAGAAAGGGAAGCGATAGGGGGACACAAAGGCAAAGACGGAAAACAAGTATTGTTTTAGGTCATACATTGAGAAGAAAGGCTTTGGAGAATATTGTGTGAGGAGATATGTTACCGATTCAACGTCGTCTCCTGAATCATCTTCTCATCCTGCCTCCTTGAGAGCACTGGTTCATTGCTTTTCCTGTACATTGATAGTTGCAAGAATACATAGCTACTCATGTTAAAGAGTTTGTTGCAAGGCTTATGGGGTTTACATGTCATGCAGTCATTGCAACACCATATATACATGTCATGCAGTCATTGCAACACCATATATACATGTCATGCAGTCATTGCAACACCATATATACATGTCATGCAGTCATTGCAACACCATATATACATGTCATGCAGTTATTGCAACACCATATATACATGTCATGCAGTCATTGCAACACCATTTATACATGTCATGCAGTCATTGCAACACTATATATACATGTCATGCAGTCATTGCAACACCATTTATACAGGTCATGCAGTTATTGCAACACTATATATACATGTCATGCAGTCATTGCAACACTATATATACATGTCATGCAGTCATTGCAACACCATTTATACATGTCATGCAGTCATTGCAACACCATATATACATGTCATGCAGTCATTGCAACACTATATATACATGTCATGCAGTCATTGCAACACTATATATACATGTCATGCAGTCATTGCAACATTATATATACATGTCATGCAGTCATTGCAACATTATATATACATGTCATGCAGTCATTGCAACACCATATATACATGTCATGCAGTCATTGCAACATTATATATACATGTCATGCAGTCATTGCAACACTATATATACATGTCATGCAGTCATTGCAACACTATATATACATGTCATGCAGTCATTGCAACACTATATATACATGTCATGAGGGTCATTGCAACACTATATATACATGTCATGCAGTCATTGCAACACTATATATACATGTCATGCAGTCATTGCAACACTATATATACATGTCATGCAGTCATTGCAAAACCCTATATATACATGTCATGCAGTCATTGCAATACCATATATACATGGCATGCAGTCATTGCAACACCATTTATACATGTCAAAGAGACCATTGCAGCAGGAGATTCACATGCAGTGGCAGCTATAGATGTCACCGAGGACATTGCTAAATCAGCTGTACATGCTATAAAGATCGCTACAAAAGAAGACCGTGTCTCAGAGATCAGTGTAACAGTAAATATACAGACTGTAGAGACTAGTGTAACATGAGCTCTGCTTGTCACATAGATCATTGCAATAGTAACTAGCTGCATACGTTACAGACATCGTTTCAAGAACGCCACGATCGTGTGGGACACTCTTGAAAGTAATATACAAACAAATAATTAGTATTTTTATAGTTAATTAGTTAATCAAATGATAATAGATAATAGCTTATACTTTTGAAACATTTTTTTAACCTACAATACAGTGCAAGTTGACTATTTTACTTTTTTTAGTCTGGCGCTTTACGCTTTCATTATTCGTTGGAAAAAAATGTAAAATAATTGTGTGGAAAGAATTATTTAATTTATAGTTTTCTAGCTTTCACTGAAATATGTAATATTTTTTTTTTATTGCATGTATGTGATTCATGGCTGTGAATCCTGGACAATAGGTATGCAGGCCAAACAATTTCTTGAGGCCTCAGAGATGTGGTTTTGCAGAAGAATGCTTAGAATACCTTGGACAGCTAAAAAGAGCAATCAAGAGGTTTTGAAAGAGGCGGGAGCCCGAAGACAACTTATCACAAACATCAGAAGCAGACAGTCTTAATTTTTCGGCCATGTTATGCGAATAGGGAAAATAGAACATGTTGTGACCACTGGAAAGATCTGTGGATGAAGGGATAGAGGAAGATAACGAGAGAAGATTCTTGACAGTCTTGTTGCATGGCATGGAGGTGTGTCGGCACGAACTAATACATGCTGCAGGAAATCTTGGAATATGGAGAGGCATGATCGCCCACGCCAGTCGGTAAGGCAACTGATGATGATGATGATGATGTGATTCAACGCCGCCAGGACCACATAACGAGCGACTAACACCAGATGACACAAAGCGCCACCATTCGGATGAAGATCAACCGGGCACAAGTCCTAGAAACCCAACAGTTAGATTATATTAGAGCCCCTGACTTAAGCCGAGGTGAGGCATTTAATTATACATACAAACATGCATATATATATATATATCAATGTTTTGCGATCCACTACAATATGCTAACACCAAAAGCCGTACCTTGCCACCAGTAAAATACTGTTACAGAGGTTTTGTCGTTTAATAAGTTTAGATAATTGCCTAGAACCTTTTTCGAGAATGCCACACTGAATGCAACGTGTTGCTAGGATATATACATGTATGAATTTAAAAGTTACTTAAACAAAGCTAATAAACAGATGGCAATAGACTGGAAACTCTATAAAACAGATGAAAACAAAACATATATTAGCGACGACGTGCAAGAGAAAACATAAGATTTTAAAGGGGTAGGAAATTAAAGGGAAGAGAAAAAGTTAGTAAGGAAAAACTAATAGTTCATGTTAGCTTCACAAAATCGATCACAGTAAACAAACAAAAGACGTTGCGGCGATTAGCCTTCACCGCCACATAAAGAACAACACAGTACACATACACAAATATGCTCTAACTATGAAGTGACTACATAGGACTCTAATGTACAAAATAAATGATACTCATCTGTACGGAGTTGAAGCGGCAGGAAAATGTGTCAAAGTAGAGCAGATAGAATAAAAACGATGAAGTGACTGCGAGCCTTGGGATCATACAAACAGCACGGCAGTATAATGAATAAATTACCAGTGTAGATAATTACCGTTCTCGGAGCAGACATCGTTGTCTCGGCTATCGTCAAGGCTGGACCAAGTCAAGTCTATGTTGCGTGGCCAAGCGTTGGTCATCTGCTGCTGTGGATCTACCGTTAAAGGCGCATGAGTGGACAATGGCCGAGCTGGCAGCAGATGGGAGATGTCCATCCCGGTGGGCGTCACCAGAGCGGATGCTGGGAGGTGAGCAGGCGGCGCTAGCGGCGAGGGGGCAGGCCACCACGTGTACAGGGGCCGCAGGACATGCGAGGCAATTCTGGCGTACTCGCAGGCTGCCCGTTCAGCAGCCCTGTTTCTGAGAATCCTGTTGATTGAGCTGACACTGGGAACGTGGCTCTCGCTACACACACCTGTCCAGGTAAACAAGTCTATAGTAAAGAAAACCATTTAAACGAATAAAAAATGTATAACTAGAACTGACAACATTAAGTTGCTGCTAGTGTGCCTTCATCAGCACACAACAGCACGGAAATGAAACAGCCACACACACAAAGCACACATACGCATAAACACACACACATACAAAACGCGCATTCTTGTGTGATTTTGTTTTTAAAATGTGTTGCGTATCCTTTACAGGACGTTGCAGAACCAACCTCAGCACTTTCTGGCTGTTGTGGTTTTTCAAGGCAAATTTAAGTCCAGTATTTTACCAGTGCACTGAACGGTCGGCTCTCGGTACCACGGTCAAAACCATCGCAAGACAAACCGTCCGCAGCAGGGATTGAACCCGGTACATCGACATTATGAAGCGCGTTCACAATGCCTAAGCCACAAACGCCGACTCTTATTTGATTGAGTATTCATAAACATTAAGATGTTTTCTTCAATATAAATGAACTGGGCAGATTTCACGATAGTAAGAACATTTAACGGGAGTTTGTCGTTAAATAAGGGGAACATGATGAATACAGAGCAGTTGCAATTTTCTTGTTTTTTAAACAGTTACAAGAAGATCACATTTAGAAGCATGTAATGTGATGAAGTTGAACTCGGTGTTGAAACGTAAAGTTACCTAGCACACTCTTAACAATTCCTGATCTGCCAAAAGTGTAATATATATATATATATATATATATATATATATATATATATATATATATATATATATATATATATATATATATATATATATATATATATTTGTTGTTGTTGTTTTGTTTTGTAAGATGTATGCTCCCGTTATTCATCTATCCCTCAGGCTGATGGTCTGAAGACACTCGGTTTCTTTTTGGACAGAGGGCCAGCCCTGACATTTCTACTGTGGATCTTGTATGCTTTGCTAGCTGAATTAGATCTCACCCTAAAATTAACGCTTCAGTTTGAAGGCGAGTGGCTTGACAAACAACAGTGGTGTCGCTATAGGCTCCAAAACTGGTCCTAGCTAGGCAAACATCTTGATAGGTAACCCGATGAATTCGACATTCAGCAACTTTTACGTTTCTGGATCGAGGAAGGAGTGGAGAAAAAAATATATCGGTGTTTTTGCCGCCGCTATAAGTAGTCTGGTCGGCTCTGTGGCTAAGTCGATGCGAACGCTTCGCTTCGTAATGCCGGAATGCCAGGTTCGATCCCAGCTGCAGGTAACTCGCCTTGAGTTGGTTTCGACAGTGGTATCAAGAAAGCCGACATTCCAGTAAGCTATGGCAAACTACTGGATATAAATTGCCTAGAAAAACCACACAACAACCAGGGGCTGTTAGGGTTGGTTCTGCAACGTCCTGTAAAGGATTCGCAACTAACATAAGTAGTCTGACTAAGGAGGGGGTGGCGGTAACAAAAGCAATTATGTGGCTAGAGATGCATAAATTATTCACTTGCGTTAAGGGGTTTAATTCTTCAGATCTCCGTGTGGGTTCGTGGGCCCTGTTGTAGGGAAAACAAGAATAGACCCACTTCTTACACAAAAGCATATCGTAAGAGTCGTCTAATTGGGAGCTTCCTTCGAAGTCTAAGTGCATCTGCTTGAGAGGCAAGGAACCAACAGTCTGCATACAAATTAATCAGATCTGTCAGACAGATGCACATGCAACACTCAAGTTCTGGAACAGTACTGCAGTCCAGAAGTGGATGAACAACTACAACTTTTCGCCAGAGTTTACAGCTGGCGAATACGAAGAAGAGGAGGAATTCTTAAGAAGATTGAGACAGGATGGGTTGGAAGGCAATGGTAGGAGTCTCTGGCTAGCAATCAATTTTCATTTTTGTGTCAGAGCGATCATTGGGTCGGACTGGCTTGTATGGTAGGTACAGAACAAGCAAAGAGCGGAGCCGATGTTGTCAGTTCTCTCAAGGAAGCAAGAAAAGTAGATAATTCAGGAGACGACGGTGAATGGGTAACACTAAAAAAAAAAAAAAAAAATACCAGAACTTCATGTCAAAAGAGGAATGACCAGACATGAACACTATGCAGGCAGTCAGAGAAAAATAGTAAACCAACAAAGAACTGGTGATATCAGTCGCCAAACGCTGAGTGATATGCTTAAGATTGGATCCGAGCGCTTATGGCATTTTCTGATGTGCGATGAGAATAACTAACTAACTAACTAACTAACTAACTAACTAACTAACTAACTAACTAACTAACTAACTAACTAACTAACTAACTAACTAACTAACTAACTAACTAACTAACTAACTAGCTAGCTAGCTAGCTAGCTAGCTAACTAGTCAGTCAGTCAGTTAGCTTGAGCTAGCTGACTGACTGACTGATTGACTGACCGACCGACCGACCGAGCGACCGAGCGACCGACCGACCGACCGACCGACTGACCGACCGACCGACCGACCGACCGACCGACCGACGGACTGACTGACTGACTGACTGACTGACTGACTGACTAACTAACTAACTAACTAACTAACTTACTAACTAACTAACTAACTAACTAGCTAGCTAGCTAACTAGTCAGTCAGTCAGTTAGCTTGAGCTAGCTGACTGACTGACTGATTGACTGACCGACCGACCGAGCGACCGAGCGACCGACCGACCGACCGACCGACCGACCGACCGACCGACCGACCGACCGACCGACCGACCGACCGACCGACCGACCGACCGACCGACCGACCGACCGACCGACCGACCGACCGACCGACCGACCGACCGACCGACCGACCGACCGACCGACCGACCGACCGACCGACCGACTGACTGACTGACTGACTGACTGACTAACTAACTAACTAAATAACTAACCAATTAACTCAACTTACGTTTTTTTTTAAAAATACCATGTTTGGCAATCTTAGGATGGTAAGTCTCCAGAGGTGTACAGGAATTATATATATGATGACTTTGGAATGACATGCATACACACACACAAAATTACTTGACTGAGAACTATGCATTATTCTGGCCATTCTTAGTCCCTTTAAATATTTGAAAAGTGTACACATTTTCAAGGCGCAGCAATCCTTCTCTATTTTTTTGGGGTCTTTTTCTGGGATTGAGGGAGGACAATGTGTCTAAGCTGCCAGATTGTGGCGCAGGCGACGGAGAAGACACACACACACACACACACACACACACACACACACACACACACACACACACACGCTCACACACACGCACACACACTCGCACACGCACACACACATGTATGTATAAATTACCGTCTGCCAGCAACTTGTCCCTGATCTCCCAGGCAAACATGGTCGGGTTGTCGTTTTTAGCTGCTCAATTTTGGTCACCACAGATGGGGTTGCCACTTTGGGCTTGCTGCCTCCAATGATGCTGCACTTGAAGGTCATCGGGTCATAGAGCCGACCTGTTAAAAGGAAATGAATGTTGGGCTACAGTTGTTACAATATGGTATCCATTCGCGAGAACCACGTTACTCCATCCACTAATCTACCCATTATACATTTGTTTCTTCATCCATTCATTCCTTCATTCGACTCCTCTTCTGCTTCTTCGCCTCCTCCTTCCTCCATCACTTTTTTTCTTATTTCTACTCCTCCTCTCCTGTTTTGCCTCTTAGTTGAGGAGAGACTACCAGACAGCAAGCTTTAGAATGATATCATCCACAAGAAATAGATACATGAAGGCAGATTATCATCTTACTGTGTGAGTTTCTGACCTAATTTTGTGGCAGTTGTGTGTGTGTGAATGGGGGGGGGAGGGGGGGGGGATTATTCTACTTTATCCCTCCCAACTAGTAAAGGCTAAAAAAGGGGTTTTCCTTACACCTGATTTTTGGGGCTGAAATGTGGAGAAGTTGCAACCTAGCTGTAAGTCACAAAACAATGCGCCAACCGCCCACCAGAAGGCACATGAGAAAAAATAAGATTATCCGAACAGCTGGTCCTTTACAGAATGCAGCTTTCGTCATGGCACACCTGGAACTCTTTCTCTAGCCACTTCTCCAGCCCTATGTGCCTTTATAGTCAGTCCTAGATGTCTGCCTCTTCTGAAAAACTGCACCGTCTTATCTTCCTAGATGTCTGGCTAAAATACCCCTCTGTCTGGTTCCTGAATCAAACTGCATGTTTGTCCTCGTAAGAATATTTATCATGTTGATTTTCTCTCCAGGCCACGACGACATTGAAAATGGCTAAAATACCCCAGGTATTATGACAAGTTGTCTACGAGGCTATTCTCATCGGCACCCAGATCATGTGGGATGTTCACGTTTGTACTCTTCTTCGTTAATGAAGTTCTAAGAGTATTTTTGTAAAATGTCAGATCGAAACTCTATTTTATTTTCTTTCAATGATAGGGTAAGTTTGCATGACCCACATCCATGAGTTGCCATGGGAAATACGCGTGATCTCAAAATATTTACTGCAACTAGCACGCAGGTGTTGTCCTTAGGTTATACCTGCTGTTTGGTCTCTATGTTGAACAGAAAATTACCTTTTATTAATTATAAATGGAAATGAAAAAGTACAAAAGAAAAATTGAATTTAAAGTTGTTTGGTCATTATTATTACCTGTATTCGACTATTTTTGTAAGGAGGACGAAGGAAAGGTTGGAGTTGTGGTAAGTGGTTTGAGGTCGGGGAGGGGATCCTAATAGTGTGTATTAGAGCGGATTGTCTAGTACAGTTGAACTTTTTCAGTTTTGCTACCGTCGTACAAAATGGGCCTTTACCTCACAGAGGTTTTGATGCTGGGAGATCCCCGTGTGGGTTCCGGGGCCCATCGTGGGGGAAAACAAGAATAGACCCTCTGGCTACCCACAAGCATGTCGTAAGAGTCGACTAATTGGAGTCGGAGTGCATCTGCCTGAGAGGCAAGGAACCAACAGTCTGGTTCAAGTGAATCAGATCTGTAAAACTGATGCACACGCAACATTCAGGTTCTGGAGCAGGACTGCAGTTCAGAAGTGGTCGAACAATCAGAACTGTCCGCCAGAGTGTACAGCTGGTGAACGCGAAGAAGAAGAAGATGCTGGAAGTCGCGAAAAAGAGCCCAGATATTAAAGATAAGAGGATCTGTCTCATCTCATTAGAATTGATTCTGTCTTCTTCCATCTCTCTCAGAGCGGCAGGTAGCCTACAGAAGTAATAAGAACCCCACGGCTTCGGTGGCAACACATAGGGATAGTGAATTATGCATTGTGAATGGAACAACGCGGCTCGGAAAATAACCCAGCATTTATTTGTGTGACCTGATTATCCCGTTTTCACAAATTCTCTTTTATATTTTCAAATAATTATGACTTCTCTGGAGGTTGAACATGATATATGGGATCCTCCTTGTTGGTCTGCCGTCCAGATTTTTTTTTTAAATCTAAGGATTGTATGGTACACCTCAAGGTAGCATCCCAAAGGGGACAAACTGATCGAGCGATTGAAATCATTAAATATACTGACGTGTGCTCCTGTCTCGACCAGCCCAAAGTGGGTAGCTGGCAATTTTCTGGACATAAAGGACGTCTGGTGTAAATATGACCTAACTACACACCGAGTTTCAGTTGGTCTAAAAATATTGAGCTAACATAATGTATATTTTTAAAAAAAAGAAATATAAGAGTATCGGAAAAAAAACCGATTTAGTTTTATTATACTATATATATATATATATATATATGTATATATATGTGTGTGTGTGTGTGTGTGTGTGTGTGTGTGTGTGTGTGTGTATTTATATACTATTTCATGTAATAATACTAAAATCCTGCAACTAATCTTTTGTTGCGTTTTGAAGCGTTGCAATAAATATCTTTTTTGTCTATGTTTCAAAGTTTCAATGCCGATATGTTCTGCTGTACCTATTGTTACGTGTCTGCACATGATCAAAACCGTCAGCTGGTGTCACCGGTTGCTATCCCACAGACAGCGCCCTGAGAGACACGCGCGGACATGACAATCGGGTGAGCTGCTCGCTTTGCCGGGTCACTGATCAATCGGAACAAGCCGACTGATTGAGTAAAACAGGCGAATTGATGAGGAAATAATAAACTTGATCAAACAGAAACCATTCAGGGGACACAGCAAATTATTTCAATAGAATTATTTTTCCTTGGGAAAGACAGTATATGTTACTTCAATAAGATACTCATCCAATATGTCGTGTCCAGATGGTCAGGATATCACCCGTTTGCACATCAATGGGTTTCTGGGTAACATTTTTTTATGCTACCTTTCAATACATTCTATATCTTTCAGTGTTTTCCTCCGTTTATAATGGAGGGCCGCGTTAGGAGACTCACTTTCAAATCCAGCTGCGACTCGCAGCAGCCCACGGTCGGTGTTCGAAACCGGGCCGTCTGTGGGGTTTCACCCAGCCTCTAGGTCTAGGTAATGGGTACCAGAGTTAACACTCTGGGTTGATTGGAGGCAACATCGGTGTAGCTACAGAGTTTCGTGCGGACAGCGACACAGGTGGACAGTTTCTTATCAGCAGTCCGTACTGGTGGTAGAACACTTATGGTTTATAACCGTGTGCAATGACGCTGGTTCACATCTCCCGACTTTACCTTTACATCTGTTTATATCGAGAGACTGTTACAAAGAGTCACAACAGACGGGTTTCATTTGATTACAGCTCAAGGACAAGCGACACGGCAATCACGGTGTCTGTTTATAATATGCACAATAAATATGAGTCCTAAAAAATAAATATAAAAAACAGCCAACAATATTTTTAGTAACAAGGAAAAAAAAAAGGTGTGAATATCTATACTGATGAACAACACATTCAAAATCTGAATTGTCAAATGTTTATGGGAGGAGACAATCAAATACAGAGGTTTTGTGAGACTGAGAATGACAAAATGGTTTTCGAAAAAAAAAGTGCAATGTTCCGACCAAATTAAACTAGATAACACTTTAAAAAAAAAAAAAAAACTGTACAGCAACAGTTGAAAGTATATGAGCAAGATGAGTACAGCGATACACGTAGAAGAGTGATATCAACAGAAGGAGGTAAAAAAAAAACAATTACAATAGGATAACAGATTTTGAGTACTGCAGATCTATTGCGGACAATAGTTAATATGGGAAAAAAAGACCTGACTGCTTAGATGAAAAAAAAAAAACATATTAAAATCGAAAATTATGCATTTGGACCGCTAACATAGATATGCAGAAACGTTGTCATGCAACGCTGTCTTCTTGCAAAACCCGATACTAGGGAGAGATAGTATTATCTGCTCCAGGCGCGACACCCGACAAAGATACCAAACATGGACAGAGACAACAGTGGCCAGTACAAATAGGAAGAAACATTTTTACATAACATTATGAATAAAAATACGTCATCCAAACACTACTTTATAATAATATTTCGCACTATGCAACCTGACAGATGGTATATAATTGAATTTAAAAAAAAAATTTCAGTGAAAGCAGCAACATCAGTAAACATATACGAAGCTAAACCTAATATCACAACTAGTTAATTATACAGTCACTAATTTCATTATTGGCACGATGTCCGTTTAAATTACACGCGTGTCTATGGGGAAAAAAAACCAACACATTCTAATTTGCCTCGCTACAGTAATGATGAGTCGAAAATAGTCTATTAATGTTTTGCTAACGCAATATGAAGTCGGTCCGTCGTATAATAGATTAAAGGACTATCGAATGTTGTGGAGCGAAGTCGATTATCTACATTAGAAACAGGCGATACTCTATGATTTCGTTGTCTAGTGTCTGATAAAAGACACCTTGCATAATTTCTCATTAATATGATAATGTAGGGGCGACTGGTTGCAGCAGTTGCCTCACGATATATATATATATATATATATATATATATATATATATATATATATATATATATATATATATATATATATATATATATATATATATATATATATATATATATATATATATACTCACAGACTGAAAGATATTAAGATATATAATACAGATAGATAGAGAAACAGACAAGTAGACTGACACTCAGATCTAGAGATATACAGACATATTTCATAGGTCATTATGTATGTTGTAGTGTTCATTGTCTGTTTAAAAAAAAAAAATTAATTATTTGTTGTCGACGTCCGTGTAGTCGCAACATCTAATCTCTTGTTTGTTTATCCTACTCCACTCCGTTTAAAACTGTCAGCTTTCTGCTTTCCCACATGTGCTGTATTATCCAGGCGTGTTCCTCTCTATGTCAAATTCGCATGAATGCTCAGGAAAAGGTCGTATTTCTTATCCTGTTAGTCACGGACACTACTGCTACATCTAAATCCTTTCTGTCAAAGACCCTTCTATCACTCTACATAAAACAAGTGAATAGATACAATCATATGGCTCCTCAATGATGGCGTCCCTGTCAGAAACAGACGCCTACTCAGACAACACATCCACAGCTGGCTGAGTTCTCCAGGGATCTTTCTTGGACACTCAATGTAACACCATATATTGGAATGGTTCGCCTTCTGGACCCAAGCCTGACTGCTCACGAGGGTCCTTTTCATTCGCTGCCCTCTTTCCAGGTTTCTACAGTCTCTAACCATCATCCTGGCCTCGTGTAGCCATCCTCAGCATGCTAGCCTCATGCGACACAATCGCCTATAAGACCCGCTAGGAGGTTATGAGGTGACAAACGTGCCACCCCGCTGTTTATTGAGTTATGCCTCACTTGCGGTGACGACCCCTAGAAACTGCCACACACATTATACAGGCTTAGGTTATTTGGGTATCCTTTACAGGACGTTGCAGAACCAACCCCAACAGTCGCTGGCTGTTGTGTGGTTTTTCTAGGCAAATTTACGTCCAGTAGTTTGCCATTGTTTACTGGGCGGTCGGCTTTCTTGATACCACTGTCAAAACCAACGAAAAGCGCAAGGCTGGAATCGAACCCGGCATCCCTGCATTACGAAGCATTCGCATCGACATAGCCACAGAGCCGACATACAGACTTATTCAATGTAGTAAACGTGATGTTTGAGGAAAACCGGCAGTCTTCTATCAAAGTCTAAAACATTTCTGATTCCATAGCAAGAGAGCGCCCCCCCCCCCAGCCCCTTTTTTCCCCTTCTTCCCTTGAGGGTAGAAGTGAAAGACGATGATGATAATGATAATGATGATGACAGTCATATTTGGTTTAGTGGCTAGAATCTTGTGTGACGGCTTAAAGCACTGGGTTCGAGTCGATACCGAAGATGATTTGTGAATAACTTACTTTGACCAAATGGTCGAACCAACCTCAGATAGGTACTAGGGATAGGTCCAGAGAACTAAAGGCAGCCAGTACGACCATACATCTACTGAGTGCTGTTTCCTCTATAAAATGTGGCTCTTGCAATGTGTGTCCCATGTACCACTTATGTCAGAAAGGCCCTTTTTTGAAACTCTAACCTTCTCTGTCTGAGTTGCAGGGTCCTAATTTTGGGACAGGAAGGAAAAGTAGCCCCCCCCCCCCCAATACAAAGCATGCCGTAAAAGTCTACTAATTAAGCCCCCCCCCCAATCAAGCATGCCGTAAAAGTCTACTACCTAAGCCCCCCCAGGCCCCGAAACCCCCCATAATCAAGCATGCCGTAAAAGTCTACTAATTAAGTGTGCTTCCTTTGAAGTCGGAGTGCATCTGATTGAGAGACAAGGAACCAACAGTCTGCATACAAATAAACCAGTTTTTTAAACAGATATGCACGCAAATCTCTGAAAAGTCTGGACCTGGTCTGACCTGAGCAAACGAAACCGAACATAAAGAAGAAGTAGTCTGCAGAAAAGTAAATATCACACACACACTAACATATATATATATATATACACACACACACACACACACACACATATATGTCTAAAGAGCATTATGTTTAAGCAACTAAAAAGATAATAAAAAACTATGTGAATATCGATACCGGATAAGCACATAATATATATAAATAAGCACAGGTTGTATGAACGTAAATTAGCGATTCATTAATATGACAACATAATATTCGTGAAGTGATCTTCTCCGAATTAAGTGACCGTGAAACATAACTCGACAGCTCAAGCACATTAATTAATAAATTAATAGTTATTGATTCTGGGGGACAGACACCCCTAAACGTTGCATGTTGGCAGACACATTTTACAATAAAGAAATACAGAACAGTAAGGTTTAAAAAAAAACCGAAAAAAAAACAAAGGAAAAAAAAAAAAAATCCGCGTTGTCGTGGCAGAGAGACGGAGCACGGCACGAGTCGATTTGTTATAGATGATACGGTGTTACATGTGCTAATCAATACATCTGGCTTCACTCATGTTTTGCTAGTTCTGTCATGTAAGATATTCCAGTATTGTTATAACTCTGTCACCGGTAATCTCTTTGAGGAAACAACTAATTATACTCAACATTACTATGTTGGGAGCTGCCGTGATGAAGCGGCTAGGCGCTCCAGATCTGACAGAGCCAAGGTTTTTTTTTTTTTTTTTTTTTTTTTCAAAAATTACTTTGGTTTCCATGTCTACCCAGCCATAAAAGTGAATACTAAGTTCAGTCACGGAAGTAAAGGCGGCCGGTGATGCCGACCACATCACTCATCGAATGCCGATTGGTTTATATAAAAAAAAAGATTTAGCCCCTTATGTCCGATACGCCTGAGGGGGTGTGAAAAGACCCTATCACTATAACATTAGTCTGTGTTAATGCAGTAAGTGAAGGAACAGGTAGTTTGTGTTAAAGCAGTAAGTGAATTAACAGGTAGTTTGTGTTAATGCAGTAAGTGATAGAATAGGTAGTCTGTGTTAATGCAGTAAGTGAAGGAACAGGTAGTCTGTGTTAATGCAGTAAGTGAAGGAACAGGTAGTTTGTGTTAATGCACTAAGTGAAGGAACAGGTAGTTTGTGTTAATGCAGTAAGTGATAGAATAGGTAGTCTGTGTTAATGCAGTAAGTGATAGAATAGGTAGTCTGTATTAATGCAGTAAGTGAAGGAACAGGTAGTCTGTGTTATTGCGGTAAATGATAGAATAGGTAGTCTGTGTTAATTCAATAAGTGATAGAATAGGTAGTCTGTGTTCTTGCGGTAAATGATACAATAGGTAGTCTGTGTTCTTGTGGTAAATGATAGAATAGGTAGTCTGTGTTCTTGCGGTAAATGATAGAATAGGTAGTCTGTGTTCTTGCAGTAAATGAAAGAATAGGTAGTCTGTTTTAATTCACGTATGCATGCAGCTTATCTACCACCGGCTGAAATATTAGACGGTCCCGTGACTTGTGAATTTCCCGTGTTTGGGGTAGGTTATTAATAAAGCACCAAAAAGAGGAGCTGATTTTCGGTTTTAAAAGACAGACAGACAGACAGACAGACAGACAGACAGACAGACAGACAGACAGACAGACAGACAGACAGACAGACAGACAGCCAGCCAGCCAGCCAGACAGACAGACAGACAGACAGACAGACAGACAGACAGACAGACAGACAGACAGACAGACAGACAGACAGACAGACAGACAGACAGACAGACAGACAGACAGACAGACAGACAGACAGACAGTAATGAACACTTACTCCAAACTCTTTGCAGGCAATCCCGGGCTACCACCATTGAATGTTTGACATCATCACTGAGAGGCGGCAGAGGCGACGAGGACGCTGGTAGAGGGAACTGCGGTTGGCACGATCCAGGCGTTCCCAGAGGTGGGAACAAACGCAGCTGGTCCATGAGCCTGTGGTGATAGGTTGACATGTGAGATGGTGTCAAATGATAGGCTGACATCTGAGATGGTGCCAGGTGATAGGTTGACATGTGAGATGGTGCCAGGTAAAAAGATGACATTTGAGACGGTGCCAGGTGATAATATGACATGTGAGATGGTGCCAGGTG